ATTGTTATGGATATTTTTTTATTCTAAATATCTAACTAATTACCCATATAATTGATACTAATTACATTAAACTGATACAAGTTTATTCATTCTCCCTTACGGAGTATGAATAATAAATAAATATAAATTATTGTATAAATATATATCATTATCTCCCACTATATTAAGTAAAGTGAAAAATAAAATTAAAAATAAATCAAATAAAAGTTTAAAGGGAAGAGATACGTTATCAATAATTTATATATATATATATATATTAGTTTTTATATCAACTCTTAAGTCATTTGTAAGAGTTAATTTAAATAACTAACAATTTTAGAGCTTAAAAAGTTAGAAAAATAAAATACAAATTCATAAACCATATTAAAGTATTGTTGCATATGTGTGTATTTTAAAAGAAGTACCATATTACTTAATCTTCATATGATTTGAGTTTATATATCAAAATATTACTTACATTTCTTAAGATGTAAGCAATGAGTTTTAGGTTTGTTCTTACCGGAAATCTGCTATAGAGCTGATCTGTCAGGTAAGATTGGTGAGTCTCCTTCACTGGTACACTGGTGCTCCAAGATGGGGGTGATACCTGCAAAAGAGACTCCGATGCTAAAATTAGGGTTTGCATGAGTAGTAGTCTCGTATATGTAATGCACGTACCTTGGTGTGATTTAGGGTTGCTTTGGGCCTTGGGCCTGAGATGAAGTGTAACATGATTAGATAACGGATCTCGTCTGGGGCGAGATCCTCGGGGATCAGTTATGATTCACCTACATACCGAGCTGATGTCACGCGGCGCGCGTCCGAGGTCGGCTTGCGTTGTGGTGTCGAGCTTGGAGCTCGGTTACACAGTACGGACAGTACACTAGCCCCCCGAGCTCCGAAGACCGTAGGTCGAGGAGTTGAGGCCGAGCTTGCTGGGGGGAGATGACCTCTCGCGTACGTTTGCTCGTTGAGGTGACATGTGTCGTGACCGTTCATTTCCCAGGAACGCGTAAGTGGCGTGTCATGGGAAATGACGGTTATGTAATGATGAATTTGCAATTGATTGTGTTGTCAGGCGTGCCCTTGAGTTGACACGTGGCGCGGCCGTTTTGAATTTTTGGGAGAAGACTTTCTTTTCTCTCACTCGCCCCTCTTTGCCTTCTTCACTTTACTCTTTCTTCAACTTCTTGCGTACGCCGCTTCTCTCGTTTTCGTCCATCCTCTGTCTCCGTTTTCTCCGTTTCAGTCACCGTTTTCGGTAACCCTTCGTTGTTAGGGTTATTTTCTGAAGAGGAGTACCAGGTACTTCCTTTTTACTGTCTTCTTTTTTCTTCTTCCCGGTTTTTCTTGTCTTTTCCATGGCTGGGGGAGTTGGTGCCAGTTCTTCTGCGCCTTCTCGGGGCAAGGCGCGTGGCAAGGCGATGGCTATCGGGAAGGCCGTCGCCGAAAAGAGGGGTCCGCCCCGGGGCCCGGAGCCAGGCGTTCCTGGCTATGACTGAGTCAAACGCGAGGTGGCTGAGGCTCAGAGCATTTTTCGCTATTTCCTCGAAGTGAATGCATTTCGGAGAGCGCATAGGGTTTGTGATTCCTCCATCTCCCACATGA